GGAGGCATTTTAATTGCTAGAATACAGCGCCAAGCTAAAAATGTCTGCGCTGGCTTCCAGCATGAGAAAGTAACCCAAGCTGCTCTGCAACACCTCAGAATCGATGCTGCTCACAAAGCGTCCGGCGTCACAATGTTCTGAAACACACGACACCGGTGCACCGGACAGAACCGATCCTTCTGTTTGAAACGTCACAATACACTCTGAGCAGAGCAGTCCAAACAGTTCTCTCTTTCACTCAGTTCATCAGATGAAGCAGGAACACGGAGCTCGGTGAATGAAAATACAAAAATACACAAAAAAATGGACACGTACTGCTGTCATGTTAAAATACAGATAATAACCAGTAAAATCACGGAAAAACAACAACAGTGATTTACCTAAAAGTGTATTTTTTCCTGTATTTTTACAAATAGTGTGTATATGTGTGTGTGTATATATATATATATATGTATATATATACATGTACATGTTGATTGCAAAAATAAAAATAAAATAAAACCCAAAAGGCTAAAACTTTGTATTGAAGTAGTGATTTGATATTTTACTGTTTCCATCAGCTAACAGGAAACGTTTTCAGAGGTGTTTGGTGTTATTTTCACTTATTTTCACAGTTTTTCACTTCTTGAATGTTTCAGTATTTTGCTGTTAATTCACATATTTTTTCTGGCCAGACTTTTTAAAAACAACATCTCTATACATTTACAGTGTATGTTGTGTCCACCAGAAACCCAGCAGCAGGTCCTCCTGCCTCAGCTCTGACCTCCGGCACCGACCTGGACGTGAGACTCTGAGCGCTGAGCGACTTCCTCGGATCCAGTTTCCTCGTCCAGGTGCTGAAAACACGACGTAAACGGTTCCAGCTCAGTGGACGCCAACAAAACAGGTAAACGTAACGCAGGTGGAACAACCAGAGCCTCCAGGTGTGCTGTTTATTCGCCTCTAATCATGTTTCTGTTTTATTTAATTCCCTTCGATTGTCCTCTCCGGCTCTCCGTCCGTTCTCTGTGAACATCAGCAAACACTCAGAAAGACTGAACACAGCAGCTGCTGATGTGATGTGAAGGTAAAAAACAGGGATTATAAGGAGACGAGTGACTATTCTCAGGGTTAAATTATGGAAAACTGCTCATATAAGTTCAAAAATGTCTAATTTGCTTTGTGCTTTTAGAAGTATGGCTGATTGGCTTCTAGCTATCAGTGTTTTCATTTGTTTTATTCACCGACTGTCTCGTCCACAGATCGTTGGTTTAGTTCATATTATACTGTTCATACTTTTTGTTTTATGACTGAAGATAAATCAAGTGTTACAGCAGGATTTAATTTTTATTTTTATTCTATTTAATTTTATTTCACTATATTTTATTATTATTGTTTATTTTATTATCTTTCTTTGCATGGCAAAAAACACACAAACAAAAATATAATAAAACAACAACAAACTGTACTTATGGAAATCTTTGTATTGTATTTTTTTTTTTTTCCTGTTTGCTTTTTTACTTCTTATTTTATTTAATTTTTTGTAAATCCTTAAATTTTTATTTATTTATTTTGTGCTACTGTGATAAAAACTATTTCCCTTGTGGATCAATAAAGTTTATTAAAGCCTAAATAAACTAATAAATTAAATCAGAACACAATGAACGGTGGTTTATGTCGCATCAGTGAAGCTGAACCGGACAGAAAAGGTTCAACCGGACTGAGAATGACCCACATTGACTGGTTCAGGCCCTAGTGCGTTTTTCACAGCAGACATGTTGGTGGTTCTGGTTTCCCAGCAGCACCTCTGTCCTACATTCGTCCTGTTCTGCTGTTTCTGGTCCTGAATTCCACCGTGAGCCCACATGGCCTCGCTCCAGGACCAGACCAGAGTGGGCTGAACACTCGAGTATATAAGCCGGTCCAGTTCCGTCCACCGCAGCATCAGAGCGCTGGCTGCCTCTCCTGTCACGCTTTGCTGCTTCCAGCGCTGAGGTTTTCCCGAAACCGCTCATCTCGAGAGCCACTTCCCACCGGGCCGTCGTCATTCACAGAATTCCAGCCGCGTGGACAGAACCATTCACGGTTTCTAAGGAATGGTTCTGCTGCTGCTGCTGCTGTCTGTAGGTTGGAACCATCCATCCATCATCTCTACACCTTAATCCTCACCAGGGTCATGGGGGTCTGGAGCCTATCCCAGCTGACTCAGGGTGGAGGCAGGTTCACCTGGACAGGTAACCAGTCTATCACAGGGCTACACTTAGAGACAGACAACCAAGCACACTCACATTCACACCTACGGACAATTTACAATCACCAATTAACCTCAGCATGTTTCTGGACTGTGGGAGGAAGCCGGAGAACCCGGAGAGAACCCACGCTGCACGGGGAGAACATGGAGACTCCACGCAGGAAGATCCCGGGTGTCCTCACCGGGACGCCAACCGGCGACCTTCTAGCTGTGAGGCCACGGTGCTAACCACTGATCCACCTGCACCAGATTCTGCACAAATAAAAACCACTGAATAATAAACCTCTGCACTGGTAGCACAGGTGAGACGGCGTGAGGGACCGAGCTGGGACCAGCTGTCATGTGACAGAGGTTCTGGAAGCATTCAGCTGAACTGCAGCCAGAGTTCTCATGTAAACAGAAACTAATGAGAGCAAAACAGCACAAACGTGATAAATAGATGCAGCGTGGCAGCATCATTCTTCTGCCTTATGACTTATTTTACTTTTTAAAGTTTATGTTGTACTTAATTGAAGTGCAGGATGTTCATTACCTGGACTGGATCAGATTTCATCATCGTTATTGGTAATTATTCCAACGTTCAGACTCCAGAGCACACTAACAGTTTGGCTATAAGACAATCTAAAACCACAGGAGGAGCATGTGTCCAATCTGCCTCGTTAACCTTCAGCTGATCAGGTGTCAGCGTCACATTGTTCTGTTCAGGTAGGTGGGGTCTCTGGTTACCATGGAGACGCCACCTCATGATGCAACAAGGAACTTTTCCCGTCAGACCTGGAGGAGGAAACGTTCAGCGAGGCCGTATTGTGCATCTCTGGAGGAATTAATGACACAGAATTCATCTCCAGTAAATCCCCCCGACGGAGCTGAGCGGCTGCACGCGGGTGTAAATAGAACGCCGTCATGTTTTCCATCCCGCTTGTTTTGACATCGCAGTAAAAAATAGCCCGAGTCCACTTTCACAACAACAAAGTGAGTAATATTGTTTTAAATGAGGGATGACGGTGGTTTCAGAACCGCCGCCAACCAAACTCCCGCAAACGTCCCCACGGGTCCAGTGTTTATTTCGTTATAAATACACGGGTTTATTTTGGGCCTGTGTTCCGTTCTCCGGCCCGGACGGCAGCGGGGCAGCAGGGGAGCCTGGATTAACCCTTCCCCAGTCCTCAGCTCTCCGTTTTAATATCAGTGGGGCAAAAAAATATGAAGAAATGCACGAAGATGGTTTCATCAATCAGGAGATTAAAGACGCGTCTCCAGAGGTACGATGACCACAAGCTCTCAGCATCATGGGAGTCTGTGCAGCTCACTGTGGGACCCTCTGACCTTTCTCTCACTTTGTTCTTCACTGAGTTTAAATATCAAAGCAAACCTCTGCAGTCATGTAAATGAATGATGTTTGACTGATACCATAAAACCCATCACACTGACAAAACAGAACCAGAACAGCTTTTCTCGTGTGTACAACCCAAACTCACTAGTTATGTTTTCAGTGTTAACTATTAGTATTACTTTATAAAAGATCTTGTTATTCATTTTTCTGCTCCACACTTACCTCCCTGTTTAATTCAGATCTGATTCTAAATTCTGCAGAACTCTGTTGAAAGTCCAACTTGAAGCATTTTGCTCATCAATGTTCCAACACGAGTGTCCAAGAAAACATCGGTTCCTTTCTTCTTCTTCCACACATCGTATGCAGATGTAAAATGTTCTTTATTTTCAGGCAACCACATACAAATGCAGCAGCACAGAAGCTCAGTTCTGGAACTTTTGGAGCAAAAATCTTTGTGATAGTTTAAAATAATTCTGGTTGTTGCTGAACAATCTGCAGAAGATCATAATATTCACACTTCTGCTCCAGTTTCCACCGTCTTTGATTCTAATCAGATAATCAGATAAATCTGTTTTTAAATGCTGCGACCTGCTGAAGCTTGAAGCAGCATCTAACCAGGGTTTAGCTGCTCTCTAACTCCGGTTTTCCAAGAAACGTTTTGTCTTCCTCTCGTTATAAATAGATTCTAACTGCATGCTGCTTTGGTTCCACTTCACCCACATAAAGGAGCAACGACACAGAAACGAGTTCTGGTTTCTAAAATATGTTTAAATGTGATTTCTAAATGCTCTCAGGAGAACAAACAGCACGTCTGCATTTTGGACCGACTGACCTGTTGACAGGTTTCAGACTTCATCCTGGAGGATTAGTTTGACGGAACCAGCGGTACCATCTACACCTGCTTACAGAAGTGTGCTGAGCTTTTACATTTTTCTTTAGTTTGCATCATTTCAGTGAAGAAGTGCTTCTGAATCATGATCACAACGTGCCGGCCAAGAACATTTCTGATCACTTGATGCTGCGATAGTTTCATTAAAATGTTTTCTCTGCAGCCCAAACGGGTCAACGTTCTGTTTTTGCAGTGCTGTGGACCAAACACACAGATTCAGATCTTATTATCAGCTTCACACAAAGCCCGGTGTTTTCTACTCACAGAACAATCTGTGCAATAAGAGTGTTTTCTACATATAGAACAACCTGGAGAAATGTTGTTAAGTTTATCTTGAATCTCTACAACAGAACCTACAGCATGCACATTTAACTTTTACTATTTTCCACGACGTGCAGTTTCCCTGCTGTGGGACTAAAACAGGCTCATAAGTCTTCTGTTGGTTCAACAGACAAAATGTGTCTCAGATCTCATCATCAGCAGCCTACAGAGCCCGGTGGGATTCTATCGTCATGTTACACGGATCTGAACAGAACCCAACACGTGAATGTGGATTACATCTTTATTTAAAATCCTCTGGTTGAAGCTATAGACAGAATCTATAGGCTGAACAAAGCACACACACACACTGGACATGAACCACAGCCACAAGGTGACGCATTAAAAACACAGAAAGCAGCCGTTGGAAGGCTCTGACCCGATAAAAGCTTTAAAACAACACGTGGAGCCACAACAACAGCTGAGAACCTTGGATTTCCAAAGACGGGTTCAGAGGGAGGAATCATGAACATTTCTGTTTCCTCATTTGTGCCGTTGGTCCGACTGCAGCGGGTCGGGGAGGAGCTTCACTGCAACCAGCTGGTTCTGGTTGTAAACGTGTGTTTCAAATGTGTGGAGGTCCCTCAGGAGCTCAGCTCGCCGTGGGATAGCCCACACTCCGCCCCGTTAAGTGCGCCGCCGCCTTTAGTCCCGGCTCAGCTCTGGAGCCTCACAATCACTACCAGGTGAGATTCCCTCGTCCGTCCCCCCGGTTTCCTCCTAACCCCTTCGTTATCGAGTTTGTGGTCCGTCTGATGTACTGTCGGTCCTGCAGGGCTCTGCTTGCTCTACATGACCTGTACAGGAGAACACGCTGCACACATTAACCCATCTATCAACACGGGAAGGAACACGGATCAGTCTTTGAAGCCGTGCTGCCAGCCGGTGTGTGTAACTCTCTATCATTACAACAGCCTTTAAAAAGCCTGCTGAGGCGTCTGGCTGATGGTCACAACCTGGAACCGGACCCGGCTGTGTGGCACGGGCCAGAGCACGCCGTCCAGGTGAAGCTAAACCTTACCTACACGTGAAATAAAAACATTTATATATCTATGTACACACATCCTTCACGAAACACGTCTCATAGCATCAGGAGATACAGTATCTGTGGCTCATAGTGGCAAGCAGGGCTGATTGCACAAAAAACACCTTAACAGAGCTTTGCAGCCTCGTACACGTCAATAACAGGGCTTTTTTTTGTATTTAAAATAAATTAAACACCATTTTCAAAATGGTTGTCTCTTCCTTCTTTGATTATTATCTGTGAAATAAAACATTACAATAAAAGTGAAGGTAATAGGATTGGCCTTATCGTAGTGGTATGACACACCGGGTCCAGCAGAACTCTGAAGCTGTTTGGATCCATGGTTTCTGCCTCTGCAGTCCTCTTCACACAGGCTGAACATACATCACCTCCATCATTACATTTATGTTAAAAGCGTTGCTGTTGTTGAGCCAGTTTGGACACAAAGGCTGAAAGTTGGCGCTGCCCGGAATCAGTGACAGTCGCTTATAGGAAGCAGCTGGTATCAGAGTTATTCAAAGCAGTGAGTCACCGGGATCACCAGACCTGTAGCGTCGCTTTAAAGCAGGCTGTCAGTAGACCTGTTGGTGTGGAAAGACGTGACTCAGCGTTCTGGTTTGTCAGCTGATCGGCGGCTGACTTCCAGCTCGTGAGGCTTCCAGTCTTAAGGTGCTCTAGAATGAAACCAATCACTTCACCAGCCTCCACAAACATCCTCACCGCTTCTGTAATCACTGCTGACCAGTCGGTAAACTACAGCGAAGAAATCATAAAAAAACACACACATTAAAAACGTTAAAGCTCCATTAAGCGATATGTGACTAACAACATATGACCAGCTGCTACTGTGGACTAGCATGCAGCTGTAGGCTGTTCTGCACCCGGAAAGGAAACTCAACAGAGCGATTTGCATCCCTTAATTAAATGCATGGCTGCCAGGTTAAGAGAAAACGTCTAATTCATCCTGTGAGCTGCACACATTGTTCTGACTGCGTGTGTTCACATCATAATGAAGGAAACTGAATCAACTTAATGTTGTTCATAGTTTAAGGTCAAATTTTAGCATCAGTTGAATTAAAGCTAAATTTCCGTCGAGGTAACTGGATGAAACCGGCTCCATAACTTCATTATTTTCACTTTCAGTTCAGGATTTCACGCCTCCTCCTCTACGTTAACACGCCCAAAGACTCTCAGACTGCTAATTAAAAATACATTTGATTGAAGAGAAAACGCTAATTCCCCAAACTGAAGTTGTCCTGTTGACCCCAGACGTCACTGTGTGGCTGTTTTCATCCACATGGCTGAAACTGAACCACCTTCACATCTCATTTATGTAAAAAAAAACTAAACTAAACTCAGGCAGAAGGCTTTTTTCTCACTAGATGTTGAATTAAGGAGACTGAATGTCAGATGGTTGCAGAGAACTTCTAACGTCGGGACGTCCAGCTTGTTGGTTCTGGAAGGCAGAACCAGGTCGTGGTTCTGCTGCAGCCGGTTTGGAGTCTGTCGCTTAATGCAGCTTTAACCACACACACTTTGACATCAATAACGATGTCTTTATAAAACAGCGTTCTCCTTCCTCTCCTACAGGAGGACAGGAGGTCATCATGGCGTCTCTGAGGGGGGTGAGGGCACCGGGCCCCCCTCAGTCAGTCCAGTGGAGCAGGTGGGGGGCAGGTGAGTGGTTGAACAGAGGGAGGGACTGAAGCTACAGACCAGAGCCCCGCCTGAGCTGTTGCTCCTTTCAAACAGAAATACAAAAGGCCGATTGCTGAACTCACTAAAGTTCGAGGGCAGCCTGCAGATCGGGACCGCAGATGACCCAGGTTAACTAAACAGCGCCGGCTGCTCCGTCGGGAGGTGAAGCTGCTGGATTGTCACACAGGTTTGTGGTGTCTGCAGGCCTTTGTGCCCCGAGCGTCAGTCCCCCGTCACACAGTGCCGGGACTGTGGTGGTAGTTGTAATGGTTGCTGTGCTCCGAGTCTGCGATCTGAAGGCTGGGCTTCCTCTCCGGCTCCTCGCTGTCGGCCGCGTCGGACCTCACGCAGCGTGGAGGACGCTTCTTAAAGAAATCCGACACCAGGCGCACCTGCACAGGAGACGAGAGAGAAAGAAAGGAGAGCAGGTTGTTGGTCACTGAGCAGATCCTTTTTCCACAGATCTGAGTGTAAACACGTAGCCGGACACAGAGGAGGTACGGGCCGGCCTGGAAACTGTGATTACATGTGTCTGGAGAGGTCCGAGCCCAGCTGCTCAGCGACACAGTAACACTCAGGAACTCGGGCACATCTGAGAGGAACACACAGCGAGCAGGCTCAACCCTGCAGGCCGTAAAACACGATGCCCAGGAGGGGCTCTAATTGCACATAGCGCTGCGAAGGCCAGAGGCGTGGGCTCAGATCCCAATTAATCACACATGCACTCGCTCACACACACTCACACACACACTCACACACACATGCATGCACAGAGTTTCCACGAGGCAGTGCTGACAGTGGTTCAATCAAAACAGGGAAGTGGCCAAACAATAAAGGCGCCCAGCTGGATGAGGTGAGTCCGACAGACTTATTGCCTGAGAAGCGGCCAGCTGTGAGCGTGAGGGTTTGCATCAGGCCACGCTGAGCTGCCGTCACACTCCCCTCCGCCTCACGCCGGCTGCTCCACAAAGACCTGAACCCTGAGAATTAAATAAGGCTGAAATACGGTGTCATCAGCAGCCGCTCTGCTCTGAAGGAAGAAGAGTTTCCATTAAATGTCAGCGTTATGTGCGACGGTCCCGCCCATGTTTGCTTTTCCAAGAAGGTGGAAACCACAGCGGGAAGAGTTAAACTTCAGACGTCGGAGGAACGTCACAAAAACGTAAAATGTCAAAAAAATAAAAGTCTGACAGCGTTCTATATGAGCTCTACTTTCCCAACAAACTGTCACGTTTCCAGTCGGTGCATCTGAACATTTAAAATATGATTTTAAAAATTAAACGAGTATCACTACTGGTGACCTGGTCTGGACCCAACAGAACCCATTTCTATCACCAAACTGAATGCTGGTTGAAACACATTAACTTACACACATTATTTTGATGGACCGTGTTCACACAGTAAAGTCTGTAGCTGAGTAAAGTCGACACTGTGTGCAGCTTAAACTCAAAGTTCTGCGTTTGTTGAATTAAAACTTCATGTTGAAGTTGAGGGAACCAGATGAACGGACCTGTAACGTCATGAACAAGATGCTTCGTTCTATATAAACTAGAATCTGTGCAGTCAGTGTTTATTCTACATATAGAATAACTTTTTATCCATAGAAACACACATTCTGTACAATAAAAACAGAACTTATTATATTTATTTTGGGTTTTTTTCTATTAATTTTCCTACATGTCTGCTCTATCCCCTTTGCTTCCTCTTCTAGCTAAACGCTGCTCGTGTCAAATCAGCATCTATTCGCTCGACACCACAGAAGCATCACTTGGTTGGAGGACAGACTGTCCGGTGGAGGTGGGAATCATCAACCGATCGCGGTGTTTGTGTCTGTGAGACGCGTTGCCATGGAGACTCACATTGAGCACGGCGACCAGCGCGCCCTGCAGCAGCCCCACCAGCACGTCGCTCCAGTGGTGCTTGTAATCAGAGACTCGGGTGTAACCCACGTAGACCGCGAAGGCCACCAGGAAGAACTGGATGGTGGGCCGGAGGAGTCTGGCCCACTTAGCCGCCAGTCTGGCCTGCACGTAGAGCTGTGGTGGGAAGTGGAGATGGAAGAAGAAAACCAGAGGTTAGGTTCATGTAAGCGGTGCAACATTACATCATGCAGGCAGCCAGCTGACACAGCAGCAGTCTGTTATCTGTAGTACAGAGATATCCTTCTGCACCGTCGGGCTGTTCTGCCTCGGTCCAAAAAGCCGGTTTGTTTGGAGAATGACTGGACGTGTGACACCAGGAGCTGCTTCACCTCAGAGCAGATTCAGCCGTAAGAAGCTGTCGAGTATGAATTTAATTTATGTCCACTATGAACTAGAACTCACTCTTTTTTTTTACTGGAAAGCAGCAGATGCCAAAAAACCATGAATCTGGCAGCAGCACAGACTTCGCTGAGCTTCTGCTCGGCTGCTGTTGAAGGTGTAAAAACTGGCACCGCGGTCCGGCCCGCCGCTCTGGACACACTGGTCCGGCTCAGACTGGATGTCACGGCTCAGCTCTGTTTGTCTGGAGAAAACAGTCAGCACCGACCCAAACCCACTGACAGGAACGGACACTGGCTGGACTTATTCTGTCTTTTTCTTTGGACAGAAAAACCCCCAAGAACAAAGAACGCTGCTTTGCTTGGAACTTGCTGTCCTGCGCTGCTGCCTGGCTTCAGCACAAAGAGCAGAGGCCCGGCGTGATGAAGTGGAGCGGCCCGGCAGACAGAACACAGCCTCCCTCTGCCTTCAGCACTGCTGGGAAAAAGTCTGCGGAGGCCTCCAGATCATTCCTCTCACTATCCAGACCCTTCCTCTGAACTCTCTCCTTGTTCTTTTATGTCCACGGGCACAAACCGGCTCTGTGGGCCTTTTCTCCTCCTCAACAATTAGCCCTTGAGCGCTGATCCGAATGCACAAGCGTGGTGTCAGATGAGCTCATCGGGGGACTTCTGTGGTCGAGTCTCACCGAGAGTTTACTGCATTCTGACTGCACATAGACACGCGTGTTCACACTGTGTTAAGTTTAGAGTCTCATGACGTCTGTGTGCCGAACTTACCGCCAGGAAGAGCATGCAGTACATCCCAAAGGAGGAGTGTCCCGAGTAGAAGGACAACCTGGAGGAGGAGGCAGGTGACGGTTAGACATCACTGCTACAGACAATAAGTAAGAATCTGTGTTTCCCAGACACACATTCTGTCCTCAGTCCTCCGCTGTCCTACAATCTGTGATCAGCATCAGGTCAGCATCAGAACTAAAGAAAGCTCTGGTGAAGCGTCTTCATTTAAAAAAACACAAAAAGAAGAAGTTGTTTCTCCTGAACTGTTTCCAACCTAATAAACACGTTTTTTCTTTCAAATACTTACAATTTTCTGACAGTAAAGGAATATAGTTTAAAAAAAAGAAGTGATTTTACAGTTAAATGTAAAATAAAATATTACCATTTATGAAAAATACAGACTTTGTTTTAATGTGTAGATTATTTATCGTTTTGATATTTTTAAAGGTTAATTTTTAAAAACACTGTATTTATATGACTTTACTGGTTATTGTCTGTACTTGATCAAAACAGGGAAAATCTGTAAAACAACAGTAATTTAAAAAACTGTAGTTAAAGAACATTTATTTTTCACAGTGTGTTGAGTATCTGTGAACTAATGAGAGTTAAAGCTGATATACAGCAAAGGTCAACATGTAAAATAATCAATTCTTTTGATCGTTAACAATGACATTTAGTAAGAACAGAACAGAGAGAAATCTGAAAAATAGGAGTTTTAAAAATACTTGTAATATTTAAAATGTATAACACAGTTATTTTTCTTTAAAATATTAGTGACATAATGGTATTTTGATTAAAACAGTAATTTTACAGTCAAATGTTGTAAAATAACAAATGATCATTTATAAAATCACAGGTTTCTGATGTGGATGTAAATTTACATTTTTCTCTGCATTGCTGCAGGTGCTATCGGTGAAATGACATTTCTGATATATTACAGGAAATAAACATTCGTTTTTAACAATAAAGAGTTTGGTCTCTGCAGCTGGTTCTGGACTGAAGCTCTTTGGACCTTCTGAGTCACAGTTTACTCGTACTTGTCCTTAGAAATGCTACAAGCTGCGAACAGAAGCTTCCCTCCTCGTACCTGGACTCGGTGACGTCCTGAGGCCTGCCGGTGCAGTTGATCACCTGCATGTAGCCCGTGCACACCTTCGGGGAGCAGACGGACATGAAGTTGGGTCTCGGGCGGCCGATGGTGAACTTGGCGAGGTCGGTGAGCGACTGGCTGACGGCTGCTCCGAACAGGAAGGTGCCGACCACCTTGTAGAGAGCAGCGACGTACTGGTTGAAGTCGGAGTTGGAGTAAATCCTCTTGCTGTAGACCAGATAAGCCTCTCCAGAGGAAATCTGAGGGAAAAACATTCACGTTTTTGCTCCATTACAAGAGAATGAGTCACACCTCAACACGCTGCCCGGTTCCTAAAGAGAACTTATTAACTGAGCAAACAGAGCAGAAAGCTGTGAATGAGCAACGACGTGTAAACCATAACGAGCAGACGGAGGTGAGAAGAAATAAAAGCCTGACTGATGTCCTGTGAGGAACGTACGATGATGACGGTGCAGGAGATGGTGACGGCGGCCAGCATGCCGTGAGTGATGGTGTCTGGTCTCAGAGGGTACTTGATGCTCTCGTCGTCGCAGTAAATGCCCCTCTGGTAGGGTTTGAACACGATGGTCATGATGATGAAGGGCAGCGCCGCTGGAGGGCAAACAAACAGGAAGAGTCGGATCAGTTCCACCGTTTACTCATTTTATGGTCAAATGTAGAAATATCACATCATCATTTATAAATAATGTGGATGAGCACGTACTGGACAGTTTTAGACCACTTAGTTTATTCTAAAAAACAAACCTGTGATTCTTTTAGTTTTTATTTGTAATCTAACAAACAGGAGAATCTGTAAACCAGCAGCAAACTGTACATACATGAGCAGCTATAAGACCTGACGTCCAGCGTTTGGTCGCTCATGACCAAACGGAGCAGGTTGGAGATCGACCAACGCAACAGACTCCGCTACAGAAGAAAACAAATGCTGTGTAATTCCATATTTGTCTATTTTTCTTGGGGTTTTCAGACGTTACATCACTTCCTCAGCTGGGAAGTGAAAATGTTTCTCTAAGGACAGATAAATAGTTTTCGCTCTCCGTCTCTCTCCGGACCTCCAGTTCTGAAATCACAGCGACGAAAACGACCCGCGAGGAGAAAAAAAACAACATTCAGTGGTTAAACGTCGGTGCAGAGACGCACGCCGAGGAATCACAGAAACAAACATCACACACACCTACAGGACTACACACACACACACACACACACACACACACACACACACACTGCTGCAGACACAACACACACGGCTTTCCAGTGATGTGGGCAGAGATCAGACCAAATACAGCTGCTGAAGGCCTCCAACAGTCCTTGAGGTGTTCAGACGCATGAATCCTAAACCACACACACACACACACACACACACACACACACACACACACACACACACACACACACACACACACACACACACACACACACACACACACACTCTGAGTTTCAGGACGTTTGTTAGAAGCTGATGTTTGCAGCAGACGGATCTCGTTCTGCAGAAGCCTTTAGTTTCGTCTCTTCAGCTCCGTGAGCCCCACGAGCTGCTGGTGGGTTTATTTATCAGACAGAAACCGCAAAAACAAGCAGAACCGTCAGATTTTCAGTGTAAAGTCCATCGTGGACGTTTCTGTTCTACTGGAAAATGGAACCAAATCTAAGCCTGAAGTCGTGATCGTTCCCTTTTTTTTTTAATGCCAAAAACACACCATTTGCTCTCATCAGATTTTGTAAAAACTAAACAATTCTGTGTTCCTTTGTGCAGCTGTAAAGCCGAGAGCGACTCAACTGTAACCGACAGTCACGTCACAAAAATTCTGGGATTGTTCTGTTGAACTGGGCTGAACTGCAGGCTGTGTTCACACTGAATAGACCGGAGCAAGGTGTTTCAATTTACAGCGTTCTGATGTTCTTCTGCTGCACAACAGAGATGTTTGAGTCCTCTCTGCTGCTAGCCACGGCTGTGCTGTTTCCACAGAGCTGCAGGGTTTCATAGTGCTCTCATAAATGAGCCACAGTGAGTAAATGAATGCCCACAAACTACTCGGGGGTCAGAGGTTAAAACCAGAGCGTGAGTGGACAGCAGAACAGTGGGAAGTGTTGCCGAAGTGGTTCGAGAAGTTCTTTTAAAACTTTTTTTCTGCTTCCTACCATCTCAACCTCCTACAACTGAAGCGAGTGAGAGTCTGCTGCCCTGCTGCCGGTGTTTAGCTCTGCTCTGGACGCGGTGAAGTACGACTCCGGGCAGATGCATCATGTGGGAGGAAGGTCTCGTCGAGCCTCAGCTGATCCTGCAGCCCTGGGCTCTTTGGTTACAAGGCTGACGTGGAGAGATCGTGAACTAAAGCGATGTAAAATCACGATAAATTATCCAGTTACTCAGTGGACACATTAAAGTCCAATAAAACCCAACATGTTCACGGCTTTAGCTGCACAAACGCATTTCTCCGTCACACGTTGGTGTAAATTCTACTCCTGAAGGATTGTCTGTCAGAGGAGAAGCGTGTTCATCGTCATGTCTGCAGCAATCGGAGTGAATTATTAACAGACAGAGTGCAGAAAGTCCTGGTGAGGTGCAGCCCCGGTGAGGAATGTCCTCCGCCCTGATATCCACTATCCACGGCGGCACACAGACGGCCGAGGGGCCGCCATGGAAACGCCGAGCAGCTGCAGAGTAAACGCAAGAAAAACAGCCACGAAGCGAGCGCTCACCAATCGGATTACGTTTCTGTGTAAATGAGCCCCTCCCATTTCATTTAACGAAAAATGTCTGCAACTGACATAATTCCAGGAGGACGTCCAGCGAGACTGACTGATGAGAGACCACGAAGACTGAGACGACAAAGAAAATACACAAGTGGAGGTGGATCAGGGATGGGCTGGCGTGAAGGCTCGGTCACAGCGGGCCGAACTCCACCTCGTATGATGCACTCAGAACAACATGGAAATGTAGGAATGAAGGTGAAAAAGTTTTAAAGAGGCAGAGAATCCTTCAGGTGACCTGAACCTCCAGCGTGTCGTTTAAAATGTATGATGAAGCACCAATGAAGGGATTAAAGTTCTCAGAACCAGCCACAGAGGACAGACTGGCCGCGGTCCCGTTCAGCCCAGGTGGCATGACCCAGTCCGGACGCTGTTTATCGACATGCCGGCTGCACGCGTGTTCCTCACAGACACTACGAAGACAAAGAGTCTTATTGGCTCAGCGAGAACACGGCAGCAGCAAAATAGGAGCTTTGTGTGGAGAGCAGAATAAACAATAGAGCTCGAATCGGATAAACAGCCGATTGCACATCGACTCCTGGTAACCCGACCTTGGAGGAGTCGGGTTCAGACTCGCAGACAAGGAGGAAGAAGGAAAAAACAAACCCAGTTAACTCATGAACCCAAACCCACACGTACACTGAAGTCTGATTAGAGAGCCGGCGAGCCAGAAGGCAGACAGGTGTGACCTCCTCACCACACAAAGAAAACCTGAAAGGCAGAAGTTCATGGAAACATCAACGAACAAAGAACATCACCTGTCCTAAACCAGTTCCAGCCTCTTGTGTTCTTTCAGCAAACAAAGACTAGTTGGTCCTGATTCTGTGTTAAACTGAGACACCCAGACCTGCCTCCATGCTCAGAGTCCGCTTAGGAAAGTGGTTCATGTTCTGATCCGACTCCACAACAGAAAGTGAATCAGTCACGTAACCGAAAGTGCTTTTCTAAAAGTAGACAGGTGGTACAATAAGTTTAAATACTGAGGTGAAGCCTCTGTGTGTGAGCAGCTCTAATATTCACCAGAACCAGAACCAGAAGCTTTTTATTGACAAGTGAGCTCACACACACAACAACAAGAAGACAGGAATAAATACAGAATCTAGATCTAAGAAATTCTAAATAAAATATATATAAAAGAAAAGCAGAAAAGTACGACGTGAACAAAAAGTACTGAGACGTAAACCTGCTTCAACCAAGAAATAAACCAGGAAACAGTTTGGATCACAATGTTTGACATGAAAGGATTAAAACCCTCCAAAANGATTCTAAATTCTGCAGAACTCTGTTGAAAGTCCAACTTGAAGCATTTTGCTCATCAATGTTCCAACACGAGTGTCCAAGAAAACATCGGTTCCTTTCTTCTTCTTCCACACATCGTATGCAGATGTGAAATGTTCTTTATTTTCAGGCAACCACATACAAATGCAGCAGCACAGAAGCTCAGTTCTGGAACTTTTGGAGCAAAAATCTTTGTGATAGTTTAAAATAATTCTGGTTGTTGCTGAACAATCTGCAGAAGATCATAATATTCACACTTCTGCTCCAGTTTCCACCGTCTTTGATTCTAATCAGATAATCAGATAAATCTGTTTTTAAATGCTGCGACCTGCTGAAGCTTGAAGCAGCATCTAACCAGGGTTTAGCTGCTCTCTAACTCCGGTTTTCCAAGAAACGTTTTGTCTTCCTCTCGTTATAAATAGATTCTAACTGTATGCTGCTTTGGTTCCACTTCACCCACATAAAGGAGCAACGACACAGAAACGAGTTCTGGTTTCTAAAATATGTTTAAATGTGATTTCTAAATGCTCTCAGGAGAACAAACAGCACGTCTGCATTTTGGACCAGCTGACCTGTTGACAGGTTTCAGACTTCATCCTGGAGGATTAGTTTGACGGAACCAGCGGTACCATCTACACCTGCTTACAGAAGTGTGCTGAGCTTTTACATTTTTCTTTAGTTTGCATCATTTCAGTGAAGAAGTGCTTCTGAATCATGATCACAACGTGCCGGCCAAGAACATTTCTGATCACTTGATGCTGCGATAGTTTCATTAAAATGTTTTCTCTGCAGCCCAAACGGGTCAACGTTCTGTTTTTGCAGTGCTGTGGACCAAACACACAGATTCAGATCTTATTATCAGCTTCACACAAAGCCCGGTGTTTTCTACTCACAGAACAATCTGTGCAATAAGAGTGTTTTCTACATATAGAACAACCTGGAGAAATGTTGTTAAGTTTATCTTGAATCTCTACAACAGAACCTACAGCATGCACATTTAACTTTTACTATTTTCCACGACGTGCAGTTTCCCTGCTGTGGGACTAAAACAGGCTCATAAGTCTTCTGTTGGTTCAACAGACAAAATGTGTCTCAGATCTCATCATCAGCAGCCTACAGAGCCCGGTGTGATTCTATCGTCATGTTACACGGATCTGAACAGAACCCAACACGTGAATGTGGATTACATCTTTATTTAAAATCCTCTGGTTGAAGCTATAGACAGAATCTATAGGCTGAACAAAGCACACACACACACTGGACATGAACCACAGCCACAAGGTGACGCATTAAAAACACAGAAAGCAGCCGTTGGAAGGCTCTGACCCGATAAAAGCTTTAAAACAACACGTGGAGCCACAACAACAGCTGAGAACCTTGGATTTCCAAAGACGGGTTCAGAGGGAGGAATCATGAACATTTCTGTTTCCTCATTTGTGCCGTTGGTCCGACTGCAGCGGGTCGGGGAGGAGCTTCACTGCAACCAGCTGGTTCTGGTTGTAAACGTGTGTTTCAAATGTGTGGAGGTCCCTCAGGAGCTCAGCTCGCCGTGGGATAGCCCACTCCGCCCCTTTAAGTGCGCCGCCGCCTTTAGTCCCGGCTCAGCTCTGGAGCCTCACAATCACTACCAGGTGAGATTCCCTCGTCCGTCCCCCCGGTTTCCTCCTAACCCCTTCGTTATCGAGTTTGTGGTCCGTCTGATGTACTGTCGGTCCTGCAGGGCTCTGCTTGCTCTACATGACCTGTACAGGAGAACACGCTGCACACATTAACCCATCTATCAACACGGGAAGGAACACGGATCAGTCTTTGAAGCCGTGCTGCCAGCCGGTGTGTGTAACTCTCTATCATTACAACAGCCTTTAAAAAGCCTGCTGAGGCGTCTGGCTGATGGTCACAACCTGGAACCGGACCCGGCTGTGTGGCACGGGCCAGAGCACGCCGTCCAGGTGAAGCTAAACCTTACCTACACGTGAAATAAAAACATTTATATATCTATGTACACACATCCTTCACGAAACACGTCTCATAGCATCAGGAGATACAGTATCTGTGGCTCATAGTGGCAAGCAGGGCTGATTGCACAAAAAACACCTTAACAGAGCTTTGCAGCCTCGTACAAGTCAATAACAGGGCTTTTTTTTTTGTATTTAAAATAAATTAAACACCATTTTCAAAATGGTTGTCTCTTCCTTCTTTGATTATTATCTGTGAAATAAAACATTACAATAAAAGTGAAGGTAATAGGATTGGCCTTATCGTAGTGGTATGACACACCGGGTCCAGCAGAACTCTGAAGCTGTTTGGATCCATGGTTTCTGCCTCTGCAGTCCTCTTCACACAGGCTGAACATACATCACCTCCATCATTACATTTATGTTAAAAGCGTTGCTGTTGTTGAGCCAGTTTGGACACAAAGGCTGAAAGTTGGCGCTGCCCGGAATCAGTGACAGTCGCTTATAGGAAGCAGCTGGTATCAGAGTTATTCAAAGCAGTGAGTCACCGGGATCACCAGACCTGTAGCGTCGCTTTAAAGCAGGCTGTCAGTAGACCTGTTGGTGTGGAAAGACGTGACTCAGCGTTCTGGTTTGTCAGCTGATCGGCGGCTGACTTCCAGCTCGTGAGGCTTCCAGTCTTAAGGTGCTCTAGAATGAAACCAATCACTTCACCAGCCTCCACAAACATCCTCACCGCTTCTGTAATCACTGCTGACCAGTCGGTAAACTACAGCGAAGAAATCATAAAAAAACACACACATTAAAAACGTTAAAGCTCCATTAAGCGATATGTGACTAACAACATATGACCAGCTGCTACTGTGGACTAGCATGCAGCTGTAGGCTGTTCTGCACCCGGAAAGGAAACTCAACAGAGCGATTTGCATCCCTTAATTAAATGCATGGCTGCCAGGTTAAGAGAAAACGTCTAATTCATCCTGTGAGCTGCACACATTGTTCTGACTGCGTGTGTTCACATCATAATGAAGGAAACTGAATCAACTTAATGTTGTTCATAGTTTAAGGTCAAATTTTAGCATCAGTTGAATTAAAGCTAAATTTCCGTCGAGGTAACTGGATGAAACCGGCTCCATAACTTCATTATTTTCACTTTCAGTTCAGGATTTCACGCCTCCTCCTCTACGTTAACACGCCCAAAGACTCTCAGACTGCTAATTAAAAATACATTTGATTGAAGAGAAAACGCTAATTCCCCAAACTGAAGTTGTCCTGTTGACCCCAGACGTCACTGTGTGGCTGTTTTCATCCACATGGCTGAAACTGAACCACCTTCACATCTCATTTATGTAAAAAAAAACTAAACTAAACTCAGGCAGAAGGCTTTTTTCTCACTAGATGTTGAATTAAGGAGACTGAATGTCAGATGGTTGCAGAGAACTTCTAACGTCGGGACGTCCAGCTTGTTGGTTCTGGAAGGCAGAACCAGGTCGTGGTTCTGCTGCAGCCGGTTTGGAGTCTGTCGCTTAATGCAGCTTTAACCACACACACTTTGACATCAATAACGATGTCTTTATAAAACAGCGTTCTCCTTCCTCTCCTACAGGAGGACAGGAGGTCATCATGGCGTCTCTGAGGGGGGTGAGGGCACCGGGCCCCCCTCAGTCAGTCCAGTGGAGCAGGTGGGGGGCAGGTGAGTGGTTGAACAGAGGGAGGGACTGAAGCTACAGACCAGAGCCCCGCCTGAGCTGTTGCTCCTTTCAAACAGAAATACAAAAGGCCGATTGCTGAACTCACTAAAGTTCGAGGGCAGCCTGCAGATCGGGACCGCAGATGACCCAGGTTAACTAAACAGCGCCGGCTGCTCCGTCGGGAGGTGAAGCTGCTGGATTGTCACACAGGTTTGTGGTGTCTGCAGGCCTTTGTGCCCCGAGCGTCAGTCCCCCGTCACACAGTGCCGGGACTGTGGTGGTAGTTGTAATGGTTGCTGTGCTCCGAGTCTGCGATCTGAAGGCTGGGCTTCCTCTCCGGCTCCTCGCTGTCGGCCGCGTCGGACCTCACGCAGCGTGGAGGACGCTTCTTAAAGAAATCCGACACCAGGCGCACCTGCACAGGAGACGAGAGAGAAAGAAAGGAGAGCAGGTTGTTGGTCACTGAGCAGATCCTTTTTCCACAGATCTGAGTGTAAACACGTAGCCGGACACAGAGGAGGTACGGGCCGGCCTGGAAACTGTGATTACATGTGTCTGGAGAGGTCCGAGCCCAGCTGCTCAGCGACACAGTAACACTCAGGAACTCGGGCACATCTGAGAGGAACACACAGCGAGCAGGCTCAACCCTGCAGGCCGTAAAACACGATGCCCAGGAGGGGCTCTAATTGCACATAGCGCTGCGAAGGCCAGAGGCGTGGGCTCAGATCCCAATTAATCACACATGCACTCGCTCACACACACTCACACACACACTCACACACACATGCATGCACAGAGTTTCCACGAGGCAGTGCTGACAGTGGTTCAATCAAAACAGGGAAGTGGCCAAACAATAAAGGCGCCCAGCTGGATGAGGTGAGTCCGACAGACTTATTGCCTGAGAAGCGGCCAGCTGTGAGCGTGAGGGTTTGCATCAGGCCACGCTGAGCTGCCGTCACACTCCCCTCCGCCTCACGCCGGCTGCTCCACAAAGACCTGAACCCTGAGAATTAAATAAGGCTGAAATACGGTGTCATCAGCAGCCGCTCTGCTCTGAAGGAAGAAGAGTTTCCATTAAATGTCAGCGTTATGTGCGACGGTCCCGCCCATGTTTGCTTTTCCAAGAAGGTGGAAACCACAGCGGGAAGAGTTAAACTTCAGACGTCGGAGGAACGTCACAAAAACGTAAAATGTCAAAAAAATAAAAGTCTGACAGCGTTCTATATGAGCTCTACTTTCCCAACAAACTGTCACGTTTCCAGTCGGTGCATCTGAACATTTAAAATATGATTTTAAAAATTAAACGAGTATCACTACTGGTGACCTGGTCTGGACCCAACAGAACCCATTTCTATCACCAAACTGAATGCTGGTTGAAACACATTAACTTACACACATTATTTTGATGGACCGTGTTCACACAGTAAAGTCTGTAGCTGAGTAAAGTCGACACTGTGTGCAGCTTAAACTCAAAGTTCTGCGTTTGTTGAATTAAAACTTCATGTTGAAGTTGAGGGAACCAGATGAACGGACCTGTAACGTCATGAACAAGATGCTTCGTTCTATATAAACTAGAATCTGTGCAGTCAGTGTTTATTCTACATATAGAATAACTTTTTATCCATAGAAACACACATTCTGTACAATAAAAACAGAACTAATGTATATTTATTTTGGTTTTTTCTATTCATTTTCCTACATGTCTGCTCTATCCCCTTTGCTTCCTCTTCCAGCTAAACACTGCTCGTGTCCACAGCGTCTCAGTGGAAACGGTCACATTTCAGCGTCGATTCGCTCGACACACGACCACAGAAGCATCACTTGGTTGGAGGACAGACTGTCCCGTGGAGGTGGGATCATCAACCGATCGCGGTGTTTTTGTCTGTGAGACGCGTTGCCATGGAGACTCACATTGAGCACGGCGACCAGCGCGCCCTGCAGCAGCCCCACCAGCACGTCGCTCCAGTGGTGCTTGTAATCAGAGACTCGGGTGTAACCCACGTAGACCGCGAAGGCCACCAGGAAGAACTGGATGGTGGGCCGGAGGAGTCTGGCCCACTTAGCCGCCAGTCTGGCCTGCACGTAGAGCTGTGGTGGGAAGTGGAGATGGAAGAAGAAAACCAGAGGTTAGGTTCATGTAAGCGGTGCAACATTACATCATGCAGGCAGCCAGCTGACACAGCAGCAGTCTGTTATCTGTAGTACAGAGATATCCTTCTGCACCGTCGGGCTGTTCTGCCTCGGTCCAAAAAGCCGGTTTGTTTGGAGAATGACTGGACGTGTGACACCAGGAGCTGCTTCACCTCAGAGCAGATTCAGCCGTAAGAAGCTGTCGAGTATGAATTTAATTTATGTCCACTATGAACTAGAACTCACTCTTTTTTTTTACTGGAAAGCAGCAGATGCCAAAAAACCATGAATCTGGCAGCAGCACAGACTTCGCTGAGCTTCTGCTCGGCTGCTGTTGAAGGTGTAAAAACTGGCACCGCGGTCCGGCCCGCCGCTCTGGACACACTGGTCCGGCTCAGACTGGATGTCACGGCTCAGCTCTGTTTGTCTGGAGAAAACAGTCAGCACCGACCCAAACCCACTGACAGGAACGGACACTGGCTGGACTTATTCTGTCTTTTTCTTTGGACAGAAAAACCCCCAAGAACAAAGAACGCTGCTTTGCTTGGAACTTGCTGTCCTGCGCTGCTGCCTGGCTTCAGCACAAAGAGCAGAGGCCCGGCGTGATGAAGTGGAGCGGCCCGGCAGACAGAACACAGCCTCCCTCTGCCTTCAGCACTGCTGGGAAAAAGTCTGCGGAGGCCTCCAGATCATTCCTCTCACTATCCAGACCCTTCCTCTGAACTCTCTCCTTGTTCTTTTATGTCCACGGGCACAAACCGGCTCTGTGGGCCTTTTCTCCTCCTCAACAATTAGCCCTTGAGCGCTGATCCGAATGCACAAGCGTGGTGTCAGATGAGCTCATCGGGGGACTTCTGTGGTCGAGTCTCACCGAGAGTTTACTGCATTCTGACTGCACATAGACACGCGTGTTCACACTGTGTTAAGTTTAGAGTCTCATGACGTCTGTGTGCCGAACTTACCGCCAGGAAGAGCATGCAGTACATCCCAAAGGAGGAGTGTCCCGAGTAGAAGGACAACCTGGAGGAGGAGGCAGGTGACGGTTAGACATCACTGCTACAGACAATAAGTAAGAATCTGTGTTTCCCAGACACACATTCTGTCCTCAGTCCTCCGCTGTCCTACAATCTGTGATCAGCATCAGGTCAGCATCAGAACTAAAGAAAGCTCTGGTGAAGCGTCTTCATTTAAAAAAACACAAAAAGAAGAAGTTGTTTCTCCTGAACTGTTTCCAACCTAATAAACACGTTTTTTCTTTCAAATACTTACAATTTTCTGACAGTAAAGGAATATAGTTTAAAAAAAAGAAGTGATTTTACAGTTAAATGTAAAATAAAATATTACCATTTATGAAAAATACAGACTTTGTTTTAATGTGTAGATTATTTATCGTTTTGATATTTTTAAAGGTTAATTTTTAAAAACACTGTATTTATATGACTTTACTGGTTATTGTCTGTACTTGATCAAAACAGGGAAAATCTGTAAAACAACAGTAATTTAAAAAACTGTAGTTAAAGAACATTTATTTTTCACAGTGTGTTGAGTATCTGTGAACTAATGAGAGTTAAAGCTGATATACAGCAAAGGTCAACATGTAAAATAATCAATTCTTTTGATCGTTAACAATGACATTTAGTAAGAACAGAACAGAGAGAAATCTGAAAAATAGGAGTTTTAAAAATACTTGTAATATTTAAAATGTATAACACAGTTATTTTTCTTTAAAATATTAGTGACATAATGGTATTTTGATTAAAACAGTAATTTTACAGTCAAATGTTGTAAAATAACAAATGATCATTTATAAAATCACAGGTTTCTGATGTGGATGTAAATTTACATTTTTCTCTGCATTGCTGCAGGTGCTATCGGTGAAATGACATTTCTGATATATTACAGGAAATAAACATTCGTTTTTAACAATAAAGAGTTTGGTCTCTGCAGCTGGTTCTGGACTGAAGCTCTTTGGACCTTCTGAGTCACAGTTTACTCGTACTTGTCCTTAGAAATGCTACAAGCTGCGAACAGAAGCTTCCCTCCTCGTACCTGGACTCGGTGACGTCCTGAGGCCTGCCGGTGCAGTTGATCACCTGCATGTAGCCCGTGCACACCTTCGGGGAGCAGACGGACATGAAGTTGGGTCTCGGGCGGCCGATGGTGAACTTGGCGAGGTCGGTGAGCGACTGGCTGACGGCTGCTCCGAACAGGAAGGTGCCGACCACCTTGTAGAGAGCAGCGACGTACTGGTTGAAGTCGGAGTTGGAGTAAATCCTCTTGCTGTAGACCAGATAAGCCTCTCCAGAGGAAATCTGAGGGAAAAACATTCACGTTTTTGCTCCATTACAAGAGAATGAGTCACACCTCAACACGCTGCCCGGTTCCTAAAGAGAACTTATTAACTGAGCAAACAGAGCAGAAAGCTGTGAATGAGCAACGACGTGTAAACCATAACGAGCAGACGGAGGTGAGAAGAAATAAAAGCCTGACTGATGTCCTGTGAGGAACGTACGATGATGACGGTGCAGGAGATGGTGACGGCGGCCAGCATGCCGTGAGTGATGGTGTCTGGTCTCAGAGGGTACTTGATGCTCTCGTCGTCGCAGTAAATGCCCCTCTGGTAGGGTTTGAACACGATGGTCATGATGATGAAGGGCAGCGCCGCTGGAGGGCAAACAAACAGGAAGAGTCGGATCAGTTCCACCGTTTACTCATTTTATGGTCAAATGTAGAAATATCACATCATCATTTATAAATAATGTGGATGAGCACGTACTGGACAGTTTTAGACCACTTAGTTTATTCTAAAAAACAAACCTGTGATTCTTTTAGTTTTTATTTGTAATCTAACAAACAGGAGAATCTGTAAACCAGCAGCAAACTGTACATACATGAGCAGCTATAAGACCTGACGTCCAGCGTTTGGTCGCTCATGACCAAACGGAGCAGGTTGGAGATCGACCAACGCAACAGACTCCGCTACAGAAGAAAACAAATGCTGTGTAATTCCATATTTGTCTATTTTTCTTGGGGTTTTCAGACGTTACATCACTTCCTCAGCTGGGAAGTGAAAATGTTTCTCTAAGGACAGATAAATAGTTTTCGCTCTCCGTCTCTCTCCGGACCTCCAGTTCTGAAATCACAGCGACGAAAACGACCCGCGAGGAGAAAAAAAACAACATTCAGTGGTTAAACGTCGGTGCAGAGACGCACGCCGAGGAATCACAGAAACAAACATCACACACACCTACAGGACTACACACACACACACACACACACACACACACACACACACACTGCTGCAGACACAACACACACGGCTTTCCAGTGATGTGGGCAGAGATCAGACCAAATACAGCTGCTGAAGGCCTCCAACAGTCCTTGAGGTGTTCAGACGCATGAATCCTAAACCACACACACACACACACACACACACACACACACACACACACACACACACACACACACACACACACACACACACACACACACACACACACACTCTGAGTTTCAGGACGTTTGTTAGAAGCTGATGTTTGCAGCAGACGGATCTCGTTCTGCAGAAGCCTTTAGTTTCGTCTCTTCAGCTCCGTGAGCCCCACGAGCTGCTGGTGGGTTTATTTATCAGACAGAAACCGCAAAAACAAGCAGAACCGTCAGATTTTCAGTGTAAAGTCCATCGTGGACGTTTCTGTTCTACTGGAAAATGGAACCAAATCTAAGCCTGAAGTCGTGATCGTTCCCTTTTTTTTTTAATGCCAAAAACACACCATTTGCTCTCATCAGATTTTGTAAAAACTAAACAATTCTGTGTTCCTTTGTGCAGCTGTAAAGCCGAGAGCGACTCAACTGTAACCGACAGTCACGTCACAAAAATTCTGGGATTGTTCTGTTGAACTGGGCTGAACTGCAGGCTGTGTTCACACTGAATAGACCGGAGCAAGGTGTTTCAATTTACAGCGTTCTGATGTTCTTCTGCTGCACAACAGAGATGTTTGAGTCCTCTCTGCTGCTAGCCACGGCTGTGCTGTTTCCACAGAGCTGCAGGGTTTCATAGTGCTCTCATAAATGAGCCACAGTGAGTAAATGAATGCCCACAAACTACTCGGGGGTCAGAGGTTAAAACCAGAGCGTGAGTGGACAGCAGAACAGTGGGAAGTGTTGCCGAAGTGGTTCGAGAAGTTCTTTTAAAACTTTTTTTCTGCTTCCTACCATCTCAACCTCCTACAACTGAAGCGAGTGAGAGTCTGCTGCCCTGCTGCCGGTGTTTAGCTCTGCTCTGGACGCGGTGAAGTACGACTCCGGGCAGATGCATCATGTGGGAGGAAGGTCTCGTCGAGCCTCAGCTGATCCTGCAGCCCTGGGCTCTTTGGTTACAAGGCTGACGTGGAGAGATCGTGAACTAAAGCGATGTAAAATCACGATAAATTATCCAGTTACTCAGTGGACACATTAAAGTCCAATAAAACCCAACATGTTCACGGCTTTAGCTGCACAAACGCATTTCTCCGTCACACGTTGGTGTAAATTCTACTCCTGAAGGATTGTCTGTCAGAGGAGAAGCGTGTTCATCGTCATGTCTGCAGCAATCGGAGTGAATTATTAACAGACAGAGTGCAGAAAGTCCTGGTGAGGTGCAGCCCCGGTGAGGAATGTCCTCCGCCCTGATATCCACTATCCACGGCGGCACACAGACGGCCGAGGGGCCGCCATGGAAACGCCGAGCAGCTGCAGAGTAAACGCAAGAAAAACAGCCACGAAGCGAGCGCTCACCAATCGGATTACGTTTCTGTGTAAATGAGCCCCTCCCATTTCATTTAACGAAAAATGTCTGCAGCTGACATAATTCCAGGAGGACGTCCAGCGAGACTGACTGATGAGAGACCACGAAGACTGAGACGACAAAGAAAATACACAAGTGGAGGTGGATCAGGGATGGGCTGGCGTGAAGGCTCGGTCACAGCGGGCCGAACTCCACCTCGTATGATGCACTCAGAACAACATGGAAATGTAGGAATGAAGGTGAAAAAGTTTTAAAGAGGCAGAGAATCCTTCAGGTGACCTGAACCTCCAGCGTGTCGTTTAAAATGTATGATGAAGCACCAATGAAGGGATTAAAGTTCTCAGAACCAGCCACAGAGGACAGACCGGCCGCGGTCCCGTTCAGCCCAGGTGGCATGACCCAGTCCGGACGCTGTTTATCGACATGCCGGCTGCACGCGTGTTCCTCACAGACACTACGAAGACAAAGAGTCTTATTGGCTCAGCGAGAACACGGCAGCAGCAAAATAGGAGCTTTGTGTGGAGAGCAGAATAAACAATAGAGCTCGAATCGGATAAACAGCCGATTGCACATCGACTCCTGGTAACCCGACCTTGGAGGAGTCGGGTTCAGACTCGCAGACAAGGAGGAAGAAGGAAAAAACAAACCCAGTTAACTCATGAACCCAAACCCACACGTACACTGAAGTCTGATTAGAGAGCCGGCGAGCCAGAAGGCAGACAGGTGTGACCTCCTCACCACACAAAGAAAACCTGAAAGGCAGAAGTTCATGGAAACATCAACGAACAAAGAACATCACCTGTCCTAAACCAGTTCCAGCCTCTTGTGTTCTTTCAGCAAACAAAGACTAGTTGGTCCTGATTCTGTGTTAAACTGAGACACCCAGACCTGCCTCCATGCTCAGAGTCCGCTTAGGAAAGTGGTTCATGTTCTGATCCGACTCCACAACAGAAAGTCAATCAGTCACATAACCGAAAGTGCTTTTCTAAAAGTAGACAGGTGGTACACGTTTAGCTCAATAAGTTTAAATACTGAGGTGAAGCCTGTGTGTGAATCTACCTGAGCAGCTCTAATATTCACCAGAACCAGAACCACAAGCTTTTTATTGACAAGTGAGCTCACACACACAACAACAAGAAGACAGGAATAAATACAGAATCTAGATCTAAGAAATTCTAAATAAAATATATATAAAAGAAAAGCAGAAAAGTACGACGTGAACAAAAAGTACTGAGACGTAAACCTGCTTCAACCGAGAAATAAACCAGGAAACAGTTTGGATTACAATATTGGACATGAAAGGATTAAAACCCTCCAAAACTCAGATAACACGAGACTTTACTATTATAAATATTAGGACTGAGATCTTATAAAAACACTGATTCCCTGCATAAACAAACCTGGTTTTTATTCTACCTTTATGTGTGTTGTTGTGAATAAGCACCAATTCCAAAATCTAAACCTTTATTCTCACCAGAACATGTGTAACTCTGTTTAGTGGCTGTTCCTTGGTGCCTCTAATTTGCCCTTTTCCCTCCCAGTCCTCTGGCAGCAGCAGCTGGAGGACACCTGTCCCCGCCCGGCAGATTCCCACCGACCACAACACGAGCTGTTGAAATCCCAGTTTGCACATCCCTGCTCCGGCCTCGTCGGGATGTCGTAAACTGGGATTACAGAGTCTTACTCCGACACATTTTCCTCTCCTGCACCGCGAGAATCCTGTTTGCGACGACCGCAGCACGACGCGGAGCGTCTTGTTCGTAGCTAGCATCCTGTCTGGAGGCGCCGCGGGGGAGCAGCTCGCTATGGATTTACTGATGTGGCTTCTGGGTGGCAGCTCCTGCATCTGCATCCTGCATCCGGCCTCCAGCTGGCAGAGGGATGGAGCCAACTGTCGAGGAACAACTGCTGCGTTTCTTCTCCTGCAAGTCGGTTGGACTCAAACCAAACGGCGTCTTTACAGGACGTATTATGATGATTGCTGCTCCTGTGTTCTTATATATTCCATACAGGGATGAAGCTATTGCTTTAAAAATACTAAATCTTCCACAAAAGCATCTTAAAGCTTCAGATTCCTCAGCAGCCGCCACAACGCCGCGTGCTCTTAAAATATTGTTCTAAACACGTCCAGAGCCCGACACAGATTTACGCAGCTTGTCAAAAACCTGAAGACGTTATTTAAAAACATGATATGTGAGCGACGCGCTGCCAGAAACAAGTGGAGCTGAAGGGGGTGAATCCAGCAGATCTGTTTCCACACGTTTGGGGAGCCAACACCAACTTGTGATGCTGTCTGGGTGCAAGTTCTCATTTCACACAACGGAAAAGGAAAAGACTGTCTGAGCAGATACTGAACTCACAGAAGTTCTGACGGTTTGTGTGGGACTGGGCTGGACCCGGTCTGAGGAGGGGGTGTTTGTTGACCCAGTACAGATGGTAAACGTCACTTTAATGCAGCTCAGTGACATAATCGCTCCTCGCCGGCGTCACATTGTTGCTCTCAGGCTGCTTCGTGAAGCTGCTAATGATTTATCCCCAAAATGATTCTGCACATCCATCATGGCCATCACAGCGCTGACTGGGCAGGTATCTGGCGAGCCGTATGCTAATAGCAGCTTCTCTCTTTTTTTTTTTAATGCTTTCTAAATCCTCTTAACCAAACACGGATTTTGCCACAAAGTTTATTGACTGAGTGAAGTCAGGGCACTTCTTGGCCCTGAATAAACCTCCGCTGGCTCGTAAAGACGCATTCAGTTTTAATTTCTGCGCACCAGCTCGCTCGACTCTCCACTTCAGCTTCGCGAGTCGTAAATTTTCAAGTTTGGATGAGAATGAAAAAGACATAAAATGATGTAAAGCGTCTGGACGGCAAAGAAAACGT